TTACCAAAGTAAACAATGATTAATCTCTAGTAATAGAAGTCATGGTACAGTTTAAATCACTGATGAATTTAAGATTTTTAGAAGCTACAAACTATACATAATGAGTCGCAGATGGAGAGTTGCTGAATTTTCTGGTTTATGTTTATGTCGTCTCATTTTTCTGTTGTAGATGATGAAGATAGTTTGATGCCTGTTGAACCGATTCCAGCAGAACTCCTGCTAGAAACCTATAAAAGGAAGTTAGCAGATGAAGGGAGGCTTTTCCTGGGAGAATTTCAGGTAATAACTCATTTTTTAGATAAATATCATATATCATGCACATAATTTATTAATTTAATGAATGAAGGAACTAAAATAAGCGTGAATGTTAACGCGTTAAGCAGTTTTTTTAATGCTTAAAACTTGTCTTTGTTTACAGAGCATTCCCAGGATCTTCTCAAGATACGCAGTGAAAGAAGCTAAGAAGGCCTGCAACGCCCCCAAGAACCGCTATGTGGACATCCTGCCATGTGAGTGAGAGAAATGATGCAACACCTGAGAGCTAGTTTTATGCAAACTGTGCTGCTGCTTCACACATATCAGACATGCACTAACAATTTGGGCATTATATTTAAGCTCATTTAGAGATGCATTCATAACCCCATGCATTACTGAGCAGCATTGTCATAAGGTGATGACATCAGAGCAGGGAGGCCAAACTCAAACCTACCGACTTGACTCATTCAGATGCATTTAAATACTTGCAGGAGTTGAATGCCTGTCATTTTTTTATTCTTATATTGACCAAAGTTTATTATTGTCTGCAGCAGATTACATCAAGACAAAATGTTTCTGCTATACATGAACCTCAACATTTACCTTAAAGATCACATGCATAAATATCAGACACTCCAGTTTAGTTATCTGTGGATGTTCAGAACTAAAATCTACTGGATGATGCATTTCATTTCTCTTTTCTGTGCTCTCATGTAGATGATTACAACCGCGTCCAACTGGCCACAGGAAACGGAGAAGCAGGATGCGACTATATTAACGCCAGCTTCATTGACGTAGGTTAAACCTCTGACACATCTAGGCTCAAATATATTTATAACCTTGGCAGATTTAGATTTAAACATAATGTTGCCAATATGTTTCTTCTGAATGAAACTAATACTAACAGTTTGGAGTGGCATAGACCTCTACTCAAATATTGGAAACACGCATGAAGCTATTGAGTAGTTATATGAAGGCTATAATTGCTGTAAAGGTTTTTTATTTTTATTTTTTAAAAGGTTAATAAAAGAAAAAGATCAATGTGACATTTTTTTTTTATAAATTGTTAATAAAAACATTTTCTCTAAATGAATATGTTGGTTGAATAGTAATTTAAATCTAAATTTAGGTATGAATCATTTTTGGCTTAACTGTAACACCACTAACTTCTACAAGAGAAAGAAATTTACACCATTCAGCAATTTTATTTTAATTTATGCAAACAATTTTCTTTTTCCTGCAGGGTTTCAAGGAGCCAAAAAAATACATTGCAGCTCAAGGTAAAGTCTTATTTTCTTCTGTTTTTTGCTACAAAATGCCCACAGAGTGCGACACGTCTTATTCTGTGTGTTTGTTTTAGGACCAAAGGACGAAACTGTGAGTGATTTCTGGAGGATGGTCTGGGAGCAGCAGTCCTCCATTATTGTCATGGTGACCCGCTGTGAAGAAGGGAACAGGGTGAGAACCTCAAACTGCAGAAAGTTGAACTAATTCTTAAAATTCTTCCTGAAATGTTTAATTTTGAAATAAATATTTGACAATTGTGACACGTCTCGTCTCTTGCCAAATGCACAAACTTTATTTAACCTTCTAATGTTGGTTAATTGTTGCTTTGCAGATCAAGTGTGCCCAGTACTGGCCTTCTCTTGATCGAGAGACGGAGATCTACGAGGAGTTCATAGTGAAGCTGACCTCAGAGGAACACTGCCCAGATTACACCATCCGCCATCTGAGCCTGACTAACGTGAGTCTGTGTTCAGACGCTGAGAAATGAATAACGCTTCAGAATTTCACTGCAGAGATGAGTGGAGGTGTTTATACTGCTGTTTATGTTTATCTTTGCAGAAGAGAGAGAAGAACCTGGAGAGGGAAGTGACTCACATCCAGTTCATGAGCTGGCCCGACCACGGCGTCCCAGGAGAGCCGCACCTCCTCCTGAAGCTGAGGCGGCGCGTCAACGCTTTCAAGAACGTCTTCAGCGGCCCCATCGTTGTTCACTGCAGGCATGTAGAAGTTCAAATGCTCATTTAAAATGTTTTCGTTCTTTTAATCCATTTCCAGATTTATTCAGTTGTTCCTCAGTTTGTTGAATTTTGCTACTATCATATGTTTAGTCTGCAAAGGACTGGGACCAAAGATCTCATCTAAGTCTGTCACAATGATCAATAAATCAATTAATTGCATGATAAATTTAAAATTAGTTCCCTAATTTCCAATCTGATATTTTTTGAAGGGAAATTTTATTTTGAGAGACTTCATAATTTATTTTATTGATCATTTTCATTTAGTGTATTTTTTTTATTTCTTTCTTATTTATTGTTTTTGGTTTTTGTATTTAATTTTGGATATATGTAATATCTTCGGATTCGAGTCTTCTTTACAAAATTAAAGTTTATTGGTCTTTGAAGATGGTCTGAAAAAAACAATATTATCATTTATTTGACAGGTCCAATCTCACCTCTCTTATTAACTTTTAATTCTCCATCGCACCTTTAGACAAAGTGGCGTATTTAAAATAAACACACAGTGTTACTTCCTGTTCTGTGCAGTGCTGGAGTCGGCAGAACCGGCACCTACATCGGCATCGATGCCATGATGGAGGGTCTGGAAGCTGAGGGCAGGATAGACATTTACGGATACGTTGTCCAACTCCGGAGACAAAGATGCCTGATGGTCCAAGTGGAGGTAGGACCAATCATCATAAAAAATATCTAAAAATGAACTGATCAAAGCAGAAAATAGAAGATAACAGCCATAAAATACAATTAAATTAAACACAAAACAATTCAGAAAAAACATTTCATGTATCTGAAAACCAAGAAGAATATATTTAGTAAACAATAAATAAAAAAATACATTCAATCTAATGCATTTTATGGCATTTATTATACATGCAGGGACAGAACAAGGAATAATATTTTGCCTACAAATATCCAAATTAGAAAAAAAAATTATGTTTGTTTACATGTAAAATGCTTTGAAACAGTACAAATAATACGTTTCCACATTACAACCAAGTTATGTGTATTTTTATGGGAATTTTTGCAAATAAACAGCATATCTATATATTTATCCCCTTTTATTCTTATACCTCTGAATAAAAAATATAGATGTTTGGAGCTAATGTCAAATATTACTGTAATATTTATTTTTATTGGAAATGGAGACACAGCTGTTAAAATATTCTAACATTTGTGTTTAGAATAAAAATAAAGAAATTGGAGCAAAAATAAAACATTTTTAAAAGGATTTATAACATTCTCAGTAATCAGTGGAAATACTTTTATTGGTAAGTGCAGAAGCCAAACCCTTCTCATAACTGCTAATAAATCTTTTTCCTCAAATACTCCATCAGATTTAAGCCTGAACTCTGTAAATATTAATATTTCTCTGTTAATCACTTTTAAAACGCTTTGCTGTGAGTTCAGATCGTTATTGTGTGAAAATATCAGATTTTCATTGCACATTGTCTGATGTTTTGTCAGAACTCTGGATCTGGTATTTTTTTATGTCCGTAACTTTGATCAGGTCTCATTTGCTGAAAAAAAAACTAAATTATTTTTTTTACTACCATAATCGTTGGGGATTTTCCTTTGGTTTGAATGTTTCTGCTTTTTTATACCGAATGAAGAATACAGCATTGTGTCCAAACATTTCCCTTTTTGTATCGCCTGACCTCAAAACAGACCAGATACGACCTTATAAAAGATAAATCATCTTTTGTGTGCCTCACTCTCAGAAGTCTTTTCCTCCTCCGTCTGTAGTCTTGGAGTCCAGCAGCGTGCTGAGTCCGTTTGACTCTCTGTTTTGAGTTGTTGCTACTGGAATGGTTCGTTTTCTGCAGGATTGGTCTTGATGGTGATCCTTGTTGGTCTTTTCATGTCTCACACCGTCAGTCTTAACAGTGTAACATTTGGTTTTCTCCAACATCCTCATAGATTTTTCATTGTGTGAACCATTTTGTATTTTTTTGGTTAGCTTTTCACTGTTGTCACCGGAACTTGAAGGCATTTAGAAATGGCTTTTCAGTGCTTCCTGAGTTGTGTAAAGCCACAGGGCCACACTGAGCGTGTTTTTAGCAATGACTTGCAGCAAGCCAACCACAGAGAGATGCTATTTTCCACCCTGTTGAGTTGGTGTAAGCAGCAGTTTATCTGGGTAGTTAACGTGCATTAGAGGAGCATGAACTAATCCGAATGAAGCAGGTCGTTGAATTCTCCCACAGACTCTCTGAGCTGGTGATGAATAATTATGGTCACTTCCCTTTATGAGAGATGTGTTAAATACAGAAATAGGTGATTTCTTGCTTTCTTTTTTTTTTTTTTAGCTCAGTCAGAATAAACATATTGGTTAAAATTAAGATTACATAAAATCTAAATCTGCTTGGGTGTGTGAATATTTTTAACCATAAAAATGCAGTTCTGGTGGGAAAAAGCTGCAAAATATTTATGATATTTAGCATACAGCCTACAATAGTTTAGATAAAAACATATTTGTGTATTAGAATGGTATAGTCAAAGGCCAGACATAAATCTGATTGAGAATCTGTGAGAAGACTTGAAAATGGATGTTCCCTGATGCTCTTCTGATTAAGCTTGAGCTATTTTGGAAAGAACAATCCAAAAATGTTTGTGTCTAAATGTGTGATTGCAGCTAAAGGTTTAGTGTATGTGACACTTTTCAGCTTTTTATTTATGAAAGATGTTAAACAGCCTTCATCACTTGCCTTTTGCATTACATATTGTTGGTTCATCACATAAAACCACAGTAAAATACTTAATAAATGCAAAAACACAAAGCCATGTGGTATGAAGGCGCTGTATCTGCCATCTCTTCTTCCGTTATGTGACATATTTAAATTTTTCAAGAAAAAAAAATATTACTGCTATCACATGGCTGAGTCAGCCATTTTGATGTTCGATGGCGTGTTTCAAAGTGAAACCAGCAGCGCAAAAAAAAAAAGAAAGAAAAACCTCAGATTAATAAAAGGAGTAAATCCGGTAAATGTTTTGGTTGTTCTCTGTTATTTGGGGGTTGATGTGGTTAATTGTGTCCTCATTCAGGCCCAGTACATCCTGATCCACCAGGCCTTACTGGAGCACAACCAGTTTGGAGAGACGGAGATCTCTCTGTCGGAGCTGCACAGCACACTGAGCACACTCAAACAGAAGAACTCCGACAGCGAACCCACGCTCATGGAGGAAGAGTTTGAGGTATGCTTTATTCTTATTTCTGAAACATTTATTTATCTAAGCATCTTCTGTTATTATTAAAAACTCCACATTAGTCTCCTTACAGTCTGTTTTTAGAGCCTAAATCTAAAACATTTCAGTTTAAATTACTTTTTATTTTGAACCACTTAAAAAAATCTTTGTGTTGCATTTCAGCGACTCCCCTCCTTTAAAAACTGGAGGACCTGTAACACAGGGATCACAGAAGAAAACAAGAAGAAGAATCGCTCTTCAGCTGTTATCCCATGTAAGCATCTGCTACTGGAGCATCTTAATAAATATGAATATATGCAAACACTTTATTTGTTTCAGAAATGTTATTAAAAAAGGGAAACCCAGATGTTATTTAAAGTCAAAACACACTTATTGATATATTTGAAGAGTTAATTTCTATAAAGCTTGGTGAATCCAGCTTACAGCTAATGAAAATACAAGCGTTTCTCTTAAAAGTTTTATTATGATATACTGTAGACTAAAACTGATTTTTAAACACAGAAATGTTATAATAAAGCTGACACAATCATTTGGAAGGCTGCTGACTGGACAGTAGTCCAACAGACATTCACTGACATCTTCCACACTGGTGGTAAGCCACAAAAAAACATTGCTAAAGAAGTTTGTTAACAGAGAGCTATATCCAGTTATATCAATGAAAAGTTGAGTGGAAGGAAAAAGTGCGGATAAAGAAAGGATGGACCATCAACTGGGATAACTTCAGCATTCATAGGATAGTGAAGCAAAGTCCAGTAAAGAGTTTGTGAGAGCTTCATAAGGTGTGGACTGCAGCTGGAGTCAGAGCTTTACTGTGTTGGACTGGCCAGCAAACTGGTCTGACCTAAACCGATAAATGATAAATGATCCCAAAGTCAACAGATGAGCTGAAAGCCACTATTAAAGCAACCTGGGTTCAGTAGGAAGACAACCTAAGTTACTGACGTTCTGCTCTACTTCTGTCTTGGTTGTGTTTCTTCAAAATTATTTGTTTCTATCCGTCTCTCCTGTGTCTCAATGTTCTTCTCTAAACCTTCCATCTTCAGATGACTACAACCGAGTGTTACTGAGGACAGAGGAAGACAACAGTCAGGACAGCGAAGTTGATGATGAAGAGCCAGAGGACTCGTCAGATGAAGAAGACGAAGACTCCACTAGATACATCAATGCCTCCCACATTAATGTATGCTATTATTCTCACCTGTAAATATTTTTTTAGATAAAAAAAGGGAGGGCTGATTCTCTTAGTTCCGGTTTGTTTGAACTGAACCATTGCTAATCTGTTTTCTTGCAGGGATACTGGGGATCTCGTTCTCTCATCACAGCCCAGGATCCGCTGCCAGACACCTTCAACGACTTCTGGGCGATGGTTTGCCAGAAGAAATTATCCACTATTGTCATGCTGTCAGAGCACAAAGAGGTAAAAGCTCCTCTTTTACTTCTTAACATCTTTACACACGTTTTAAAGAGTGCTTAGAGTAAATGATCTTGTTTTCTTTGGTCTCCTCTTGTTGACAGGATGGTGAACCTCTGTACTGGAGAAAAGAAAAGCAGACATTTGGAGATTTTGAGGTAGAAGTTTCAAGTACAGAAATTACTCCAGTTTTCATCACCCGCACCATGCTGCTCCGACATGTCAAGGTAACACCAGAACCTTTATGACTGACACTTTTTCATTTTTACCAGTTCCATGCATTAATTTTTACTGATAGGTTTGGTTTCATGTGTTTGCTTAATGAAAACAACTCTGCCAACAGCGAAAAGACAGTCGGCAGGTGAAACATTTCCAGTTCCTGAAGTGGGAGGGCACAGAGCTGCCAGACAAACCGCAGGAACTCGTAGATATGGCTAAGGAAGTAAAGCGCAGCTGCGTCGGCAGCAAATCCCAGAGGATGCCGATTCTCGTCCACTGCAAGTAAGGCAGCCTCCCGTAAACTGGCTTCTGTTCAGTAATTAGATATCATTGATAAAAACATAAAGCTAATTTAAACATTTATCTATAAATGCTTTGATTTCTTTGTGAAGACAAATATAAACATAAATCATCATTTTTACAACTTTTCTTTGTTGCAGCCTTAAAGCTCATGTTGTTAATTTAAATTTTAATTGTGAAATATATATATAAAAAAATGAAATCAAAAAGAAAAATGATAGTAGAAGGCATTAGTAAAATAAAAGTATAAATATGTCTCCTAGATAAATTTGAGTTCATGAAGTGATTATTTTCAGATTTGTTGAGTGAAGTTGATGTAGGCAGGTGAAATGTTGTAGAGATCAGTAGCATGGAGACTTAGCAAACCAGCAGCTTACAGAGTAATTTAAAGCTTTTTTTTTTCTAGAGCTCAGTTTATTCACCACAAAGGGAACGATTGCAGGGTTCAGATGAGACATCATCATTTCTGCTTCAGTTTTGACAAACATTGTTTTTCATGATTCAAACAATACTTTATATGACCAAGTCATGCATTGGCTGTGCAAAGCTCTTATTTGGCAACACTGAGAAATTAAAAATATAATGCAAAAACTGAGTAAAAGCATCAAAAACAGACTTTTTTCATATATTTTCAGAATACCCAAAGAACTATAAGTAAACACCACTTTAACAGATTAAGAGATAGTCTTCTCAGAATGAAAGTATCAAGTTGTTGGGTGTGGTTTCATATAATTTCACAATACTTCACATTTAGCACATTCACAGAAGAGCAAGGAAGAGACCCTGGAACATTTTAAACTTTTAGCTTAGAGAGCCACAAAGAGCAACTCTGAATAGATCGACAACATAGAGCTGCAGCTTTTTTAATTTGTGTTCTTCATCTCCGCAGTGACGGATCGACGCGTTCAGGAATTTTCTGTGGCCTGTGGAATCTGCTGGACAGCGCTGAGACTGAGAAGCTGGTTGATGTTTTCCAAGTGGTCAAAATTCTGCGGAAGGACAGGAAGGGGATGATCACCAGCCTGGTACAAACACATTTTCACTCCTATCGGCTGTAACGACATTAGAAGAGTTATTACTTTATCCATGCTGGTTATTTTTACATTAGTAATAATCAATAAATAACCATTACATAAAACTATAAAATGCTATTGCCACTACTACCTATAATGGCAATAAATATATGAAATTTAACATTTTAAAAAATAAATAACTGAAATAAATAACGTTTACTCCTTAATAAAACCATTCTAATATTTGTTTAAAAGCTTGCTAAAGCAGTTTGTAGCAGGATGCGCGACTTGTTTGATTGCACAATAGTTTCTTAAAATTATCTTACAAATGATCTCGATTTAACAGATTCTAGCTACTACTTTCTGAATTAGCATTATTATTTTTTTTAATCACGTCTCCAAACTAAACCTTTCTAATCAAAGGCATTAATTTGCTTTGGATGTATTATTAAAACATATAGTTTTAAAAAATATCCTTCTAAACAATTGCAGCAGTAGAACCATCATCTAAATATAAACTACAATTAAAATATTCAGGGTAATATCAAATTAAATGGCAAGTTTAGACATTTTGATTCGATTTTTATAACACTAGAAATGCGTATAACATATGGATGACTTTTCTACTAATTGTTGACACTATTGACAAAATTTTAAATCTGTTTAAATGTCATAATTGCACCATTGTGACTCTTGATAAGTTTCTTCTCTGGTAAAAGTCTCAGCAGCATCAATACGTCTCTTGCTCTCCTGTAAAATTCGTCCCTATCACTTTCAGGAGCAGTACCAGTTCCTGTACAAGGCTCTAGAGGGCGCCTTCCCCGTTCAGAACGGGGAAGTGAAACCAGTAAAGAGTACAACCGTCGCCAGTGTTGAAATTGTTAACGAAACCAAAGCCGGAGAAGCAGAAGCGGATAAGAAGCCAGAAGAGAAGAAGGCTGAGGAGTCAGCCAGCACTACCAGCAGCAACCAGCAGGCGGAGGCAGAGAGCACTCCTCTGGTGGCTGAGAGTGAAAAGGAAAAGAAAGAAGAGGAACCAGCAAAGGAGACCAGCGCCCTCAAAGAGTCCACACCACAGGAGGAAACCAGCAACGGCCCCACAGTCACTGTGGAGGTCTGAGATGATGAGGGGACACATTTATTCCTAAGCCTTTAATACTTCAGTTTTATGCTTTTATAAAAAAAAAAAATACAAAAAAAAAAACATTATGAATGTATAAACTGTGTAAAGATTTAACTCAGTATGAGATGGTGAGTGAAAATTAGAAAGAATTAGATTAAATATTGATGTTTACTTCCATATTTTGAACTTCTATAAGTTATAAGGTTTCTGAGTAAAAGGTTATTTTTCCTGCTGGCAAAGGTATGAGAACTGCTGTTGTCAAACTATGGATCAAGATTAAGTTTAAATACACAGTAGATGAGCGGTTTTGTTTGGTACTCTAAGTTTGTGTAAGGTTAAATTTAGTTTATATTTTAGTTTCTCGCTATTTTTACACGCCACAGTCTACATTTACATATTGTACATCTGCCATATCGCAATAATTTAGCTGTTAAGTTCAAATTTCATTATTTACTACTGTATTTCCTTTCTAAAATACAATGAAAAATGTTTTATTTATGCAGACTTGCTTATTATTATAGTGTTAATGACTTCCAAAACATATTTGTCACTTCTTCTCAAAGGGACATGTTTAATTTTTTCTCATCTCTGTGCTATACTGAAAAAATTGTTATATCCTCTCTGCCAGCAGAAATAAACAATATTTTATTAAAATCCTTTGGGTGTCATGTAGTATACAAACATTTTTTGGAGTATGAGAAAACTTTGGTTGCCAACATCAACAATAAATCATGAAGTTGTACTTGGAAAAAATGACTGTTTACAGTCCTGAAAACATCAGAACCATTCTTTAGATTTTCACCTTTACTTTCCAGAGACTTTTTGAATTATGATTGAAACATAATAAACTCTCAACTAGACTAATTCTGATGGATTATTTTATGTTCACTAATATAGTTGAACACAATTTAATATCAGTAAATATGTGGAAAAACTTTCACTTCTGTTTGTGAATGATATTAATGTCAGGGACAAATCCCACACAGACTTGATAAAAATGTATTTTACTGTCACAAGAAATTGTAAAAAACAAGAAAAAAAAATCCTAAATATTACTTTTTGTAATCAGTTTGTGACTGTTAAAGGCAAACAATTACAACATTTAAGACACAAGAGAAAATTGTTTCCTTCAATTTTGCACAAGAATCAAACAGCTGCATATTTTTTCTGATTAAAGTTGCATATTAAATGAAATATCAGCTCAAAAATTAAACCAAAGCTCTAAATAATCTTCAAAAATGGCAATTTCTATAACTAAGCACACCAAAAACTACATTTCAAAAATTAGCAAAAAAATTACTTTCAAAAATACAAACAAATTACTGTAGCACAAATAAAAGGAATGCAATGATGTGAAAGGAGTTAAAACATCTAAACTTTTAGAAAAACTGATGCAGACCCTGTGTGGGTAAGGTGTTGGTTTCAGATCAAATTTTGTCTAGAAGGGTTTAGGTCTGTCAAAAAATACTGTTGTTTTGGCTTATAAGCATAAAAAACATCCAGCTGTGAACTTTAAATACAATAACAAGAGCATGTGAAGTTTTACCATAGTGAGGATTTTGGAAACAAACACTATAGATAAGAAGTAATTACCTAAATAAAAAAAAATTGCTTCCCAAAGTTTCAAATTTTTATCTTTAAATTCACTCTATTAATGATTTTGCATTGTTTTATGAATATAAGAGCTGCTAAATCGTACAGTGCTGACTTTGACGCAGCTTTCTCCACCATTACTGGCACCAGCTGTAAGATATGTACTGAAGTCTTAAAATATATTCTTTTTATGGAAACTTGGTGAACCCAAGAGGACACATTGTTGCAGGAAAGTGAACTTTCACTTGGGCTTGAGCCACTTTCTTGCGGTCATTTCCTTTGTAAGTAATAACATCTGACTCATTTAATGCCATCTGTGTCTCAAATTTATTCTCCAGAGGAAAGTGTAAATTATTTTAAGGCTTTGTACATCTCTACCAGGTGGTGCCAACAACCACAACTGGTGCTGTACATTAAACTGAAGGAGGAAACAACTATAACAGGTTTAATAAAATGATCCATATTTAACTGCAAACAATTATTTCCTGTCAAAAAAGTGCAAATATAAAATTGTATCATCACTATTGTATTAATTTTAAGTCTGTAGTTTGAAAAGTTTATCATGAAATTTGAAGTCATTTGGTGAAATACACAGTTTATAAACAGAACAATATGGTGACTTTGCCTTAAGGGTTTTAAAGAGAATATTTTTAATACTTTGAAGCTGTCTGGATTGAACTCAGTGAGAAAAGCAACTCTTTAGTATTTTTCCCTGCTTTGTATCTGAAACATTCAGTTTTAATGAATCAGCAGCAAATTTAATTTCACTTTCACTCCTATCTTGAGCAGCATTCATTAAAAACATAACCGAAGGACCCTCTAGGACCTTTTTCTACAGTACCGTACATCAATAATTACTACAAACAAGCACTAACATGTCTGTTTTTATAAAACCCTGAAGCACGATGCAAAAATACTGAGAGGATGCTCAAATATACATCTAGATGAGGCTCAAAATCTACGAAGGAGTATTACGGCTATTACAATAAACCAAAATTTTTAGTAAATTTCTGCCAATAAAGTAAAAAATTTTGACTTTAATATTTATATGAAAAATATTTCGATATTCTCTGAAATAAAGTTAATTTGCAAGAAAAAAAAATTAATTTCCTTGACTAAAAGCATAAATTTATTAACTTAAACCTTAGACATTTTCTGACATTATAAAGTTAGAAACCTTTAAGAAAAAAACTCAAAAGTTCATTGAGATTAGAAAGTCAGACAAAGTCAAAGTCAGACTCATGAGATGTCATTCTGATACAGTAAAAGAGCCCAGATCTGCCGCTTATGCTTTGAAAATTTTTTCTTAAATTTACCCCTCAATCTTAGAGGACTTCTGCCAATTTTGCCACAAATCTCCGACTTAATAATCAAAAACTTCTGAGATTTTTCTGCTAAATTATTCTTTTCTTATAAATTCTGACTTTACAATGTTGTATATTTGTATCCCTGCCACGGTGTTAGAGCGACGCTCAGGAGGAGCTCAGCAGATGTCACGGTCAGACAGCGGGGAAGAAGAACGGATTTATTCCATCGGACTGTCTGTTCCTGAAACCATGCACACAAAAAATCTTGCACATGGGGTTATTGCGACCACGCTGACCAGAGTAAAAAGTTCAGGGACCAAATTACCCAATATCTTAAGACCATGGAACAGTTAAACGTGAAAAATTAAAAACAAAAACAAAAATCTTGGAAATTTTCAATTTTTCAACATCAAAGAAAATCTGATTTTTTTTTTTTTAAATATGTTAAATTAATCTCAAAATGTCTGCAATTTTTATAGATTTTTTTTTCTTTAATCTACAACGACTTTAATACTCCATTGTATAATCCAGCCAGAGCTCAAACAGTCAAGGACTCATTTTATTATACAAACAATTGTTTCTGATGGTCATGTTCTTCAGTATGGTTTAAAAATGTGTTATTTTACAATTTAACAAAAAAAAAAAGACACACACAAAGAAAGATTTTCATCAAGTCTGAGCAATAGAAAAACTTAGCCTAAAAATTAAGATTCCAGCAGTTTGCATCATAATTTGATTCTAAAAGTGCAAACTTTGACTCTCATCTGGCAAAATCCTGTTCAGGATTTGGTCTGCCTCCAGCAGAGGAGTTCAAGTATCTCGGTGTCTTGTTCACGAATGATTGCAGGATGGAGAAGGGAATTACTAGATGAACTGGGGCCTCATCTGAAGTATTGCAGACTGCGTTCTGCTTTTCTTGTTGTGATGAAAGGTGATCCAAAAAGCAAGGCTCTCATTTGTCCAGTCTGTCTCTTCTATGGTCATGAGAAATAGATTCAGACATTCTCCAATGATTGAGATCATCTTCCTCTGCAGGGTGCCTGTACTCAGCTTAGACATTAGATGGGTCACTCCATCATCCGGGGGGAATCAGAGCCAACGTGCTTCTCCTCCACGTTGGAAGGAGTCAGCTGAGGTTATTTGGGCATCTGACCAACCTGCCTCCCTTTGGAGATTTTCTTGACTTGTCTAACTGGGAGGAGACCACAGGTTTGCATGGAAACACTTTGGGACCCCCAGTGAGATGGAAAGTGCTGCCGGTGAGAGGGTTAGCCCTGTGACCTGATCTCAGATAAAATAATAAATGGAAGGACAGGATCTGATTTGCTCTCCTGTCAGTTTCATATCATAGTTTATCTTGGTTGATTTTCACCACTGTTTTCTAGTTTTTCAAAGGCACAACCACATGATCCTCTGTTGAATGTTTGGGATAAACTCTTTAGTGCTGACATTCGAACAATCTTTGACCTGATTTGCTCTCTTCAAACTGCAACTGAAACCAAATCAGAACAGCAATGTCCCACCTCCACAAATCCAACTGTAATCCTGAGGAGCTCAGATAAATCGTCCACTTTGTCTCTCTGTCCCATTCAAACCTGTTCTGTTCTGCAGGAAGTGGATGAGCCACGGTTTACATTTACCCCTGCTTCCGTTGCGTTCTTTAGTCTGTTTCTGCTCAGTTTGATTAGGTTTGCCTGGCGGTTGCAGGCCGGACCGTGGCGGGCTCAGAAGTGTTGTCAGTTTGAGGTTTGGCAGTCTCTGGACGGGCTTTGGGCTCTTTCTTTGGCGGTGGAAGTGTGACTGGTTCCCAGAGGAAGAACTCATGCAGCAGTGTGTTGACAGCTTCAGGACACTCCAGCATCACCATGTGACTGCCGTCCTCCAAGACCTTCAGGAACGCCATTAGAAGAATCTGACAAAAACAGTAAGAAAGCAAAGGTACAGTCAATGTTCTTCATGAAACACGAGTGTTGTGAACTCAGGTAAAACCCTTAATAGCAAAAACCTCCATTTAAAAATTGCATTTTTATTTAGTTATGTTGTCTGACTAAAGGTGCATTCACACCAAACACGTTTTGGGTGTCAGGGTCGTTCAAAATCTATGTAGCAGCGCATTGAGGGCCATTGCAGCGCATTTCAAGCGTCTAGCGCAAAGCAATTTGAACCGTTTTGAGTGTTTGATGTGTCGAGCTCATCCAATGCATCCAACGCTCCACAGACTTTGAATGTAAACCAGACGCTCAAAACATGTTTGGTGTGAACGCACCATAATATTTAAATTGGTTTAATATTCTGAAACACTTAGATGTGGCAAACATGCAAAAACTAGGACATCAGGAAGGGCCCACTGTATGTGAGTAAAAAGGTGGTGTGTTAATACAAATTCAAACGACTCTTTCAGATTGTTACGGATGAGATTTTTGTAGGTCTAAAATGATTTGCTTGTGTAGAACAATCCAGAGTTTATTTGTGTTTGAACTAGCAACAATGAAGCCTGTTGCAGTCATTACATGCTAAAATATTCAATGGTATGTTTACAAAAACCATAGGTTCTAGTTATTTTGTAAACCCATTTAATAATGGATTACCGTACAGTTTTGTAAAATGTGATATGTGTTTGCGATATTTTAAGTAGAAATCATGCAGTTCTTCTCAAACTAATTGGTTTGGAAACACTTTATCTTCCTCTTTGGTAGTTATATCAGTTTTACTGATTCAAACTTTTTCTCATCTTGTGCTTGTTTTTTTTACCCAAACTAAAAACTCAACCTCAACAAGATTGACTGTTTGGTCTCTGCACCCAGAGTCTTGGCCAGTCCTCACCTCAGCCATGCGCTGGTCCTCTTCTACTGGGACAAACTTGTCATGCATGCCGTGAACCAGCAGGACGGGCACCGTGAGCTCGGCGTGATAAACCTCGTCCCCCTCAGGCCAGTACTGACCGCTCATCATGGCACGCAATACAAATGACGACACATTGAAGGCATTGTACTCTTTCAGCAACTGCTTCTCCCTGGACCCCTGCCGAGCGAAGCCCGCCCTGCAGAGAGGGAAGCAGAGATTTATCTAAGTTACATACACAGAAGAAAACAAATGATGCCAAACACTGCATCACCCACTTTCTGGCATTAAGTCTAAAGTCTAAAGCTTCCCAATGTGGACGAAACTCTAAAGGATTAACTGTGATAGATTTTATTTTTCCACCTTTTGCAGATTCTTTAGCTGCAGTTTGTTCTTCCCTCTTGTCACCACAGCTAAACCAAAATTTTTCATACTCCTCGCAGAATTATTTTTGTTTGGAATTAAGAAGAAATTGATAGATTATTGTGTTTATGTTTTGAAAATGGCAGGAAAAGGACAATGACAATGTCACTGTACAGAATTTTCCTACAAACAGCTTTTTTCAGTCTGTCTTCAGTGCCAGCAGATGTCAGCTCAAACTAAGCCAGTTCCTGCTCAAAGTTTCCACCTGCTGAAAGTTAATCACACACCAGAATCCTGACAGAATCTCTCCTTTCCTCCTTCACCACATGTATGATCAGCCTAAACCACATTAATAGCTTTGATTGTGTCAACTTTATGGCACTTATGGGTTGTAGTCTGCAAAAATCCAGATATTGTGTTGAACCACAATGCCTGCAAATGATCTAAAGTAACTCACTGAGAACAAAAACCCTGATCTGGACATCTATAATCAGAATAAAACGTGTCTTACTTTAGGAAGCTCCAGGCTAACAGTGGGGACAGGCAGTGAAGCACACAGGTGGGCAGGTTGAAGATGCTGCACAGGCTGGGCTCCAGCGCTGTGGGACCTCCACCATTGATCATCACCATTTTGTGAATCTGGTCTGGAAACTCATGAGCCAGGAACGTACAGAAAGACACGCTGGAAAGTAGAAACAGAATGAGGGTTATTATGTAAAACAGATCGTAATCTTGTGGTAAACTGTTAAATAGAATGAAGCTTTTATGATTTTTTTTCCATTAAGAGACGATATAAAGGTGTTAACATCAATAATACCCATATGAATGTCCTATGAGGATGTTCCTCTTCTTTGCATATCTCTTAAAGATTAGTCTCATATCCTCTGCCAGGGCATAGAAGGTGTACGCTGCAGTTATGTGTGGAGATGAGCTCGCTCCGTGGCCCGCCAGGTCCGGGGCGATCACCTCGTACCCGAGTCGGGAAAAGAAGTCCAGCTGACTCCCCCAGATATCCAGCGACCCCCCGACTCCGTGGATAAAGAACAGAGCAACATCTGAATGTGTTCCTTTACAGGCTGCTATCCTCCTTTCACAGTCAATCACCACGGTGCGCTTCGGCTTCCTCCTCCGTTTGCGGGGTTGCTGGGACTGCTCGGCCTGTCCTGCAGCAGGTGCCTCTCCTGCTGACCCGGTTTCCGATGCCCCGTTGTTTCCAGCTGTGACAGAGTCTGACCGAGCCTCGGGGATGCTGACCGGAGGTGAAGAGTTGCGACAGTCTGTCAGCTCAACCTCCACCATGCTGTTGGGTTCAGTCTCTCCGTTCTGGCAGGTTTTCAGCTCCGCGCTCGCCCTCTCGCCCAAGTTCTCAATGAACAGCTGTCCGTTGCGGTAGACTGTGATCTTTCTTTTGCAGCTCACGATCCCACCCAGCGAGGGCTCCTCCACCGCCGGTCTGTCAGGGATGATGTGTCGAACCCGCAGGACACGGCCTGGTTTCACCTCCACGAACTCGTACCCATCTGCAGGCTCAGAGGTGTCCACGGGAACCACGGTGTTGGCCGGTTTGGAGGTGAGACAGCAGAGGAGGCCTTCAATAAAGCTGGTCAGCATGGCTGCCAGTCTGGATGGAAAACAGACACAGAAATACAATATGATGGCATACAATATGGGCTTAATTATCATTAAGATTATATATATG